GTCTGCCTTAGGCTCAGGTTATGATCCCAGACTGGGATCGAGCCCCGCATCGGGCTCCCTGCTCAGCGGGAAGCCTGCTTCTCCCTCTGACCCTCCCCACTCTCATGTGCTCTCTCTCATTCTCTCTCTCTCAAATAAATAAATAAAATCTTTAAAAAAAAAAAAAGAAAACAGAAATGTTGGGGTGCCTGGGTGGCTCAGTCGGTTAAGCGACTGCCTTAGGCTCAGGTCATGATCCCAGAGTCCTGGGATCGAGCCCCACTTCGGGCTCCCTGCTCAGCGGAGAGCCTGCTTCTCCCTCTCCCACTCCCCCTGCTTGTGTTCCCTCTTTCGCTGTCAAATAAATAAATAAAATCTTAAAAAAAAAAACCCAGAAATTTAGAAAGACGAATTTTAAACAGGTGAAACTTTGCAGAAGATAAAGAAGGCCAAAATAAGAAAGTGAAGTGGAAAGCAGAAACTTCACATTGATTTTTTTTTAAAAGTTAATTACAGTCTTTTATTACTAGCTTAAAAAAAAAAGGCTTAAATCACTAGGAAACTATTTACAGGAAGAATCACATTTTAAGTCGGGTGACTGGATATGAAGAAGGGCCACTTAATGTCCCTTCTTGGGACAGGCAGGGACAGGTGACGTGATCTGCCCGCGGGGCTGCATCAAGGAGGGGACCCCGTGTCCTGGCTGCCGACTAACAAAGCATCAGAGGCATGCCAGAGCTGCTTTGCTAACAAATAATTACATGTCTTTTTAGTGTTTAAGAGAAATCTTAATCTTTCGGGGCTATCTCTGTAGAATCATTCTGGAAACGTGTATGATTAGAAAACTCTTAAAAAAAATGAGGCTTGTTGCCCCCATGAGACCCGTTACGTCTTCCCAGGCACTGACGGGCCTTTTGGGGACAGGAATACAGAATACTGGGCTCCAGAGAGTCCTGCCAGGGCCATCAGCAGCCTCCTTGGCTCAGAGCTCTTGTCCCACAGGCTGGCAGACCGGACCAGAGTCTTGGGTCAAAGTGCTTTGGGGAACGTCTTCTTGCTCCTTATCTGGAAGCGAAACGATGGACACAGAGTCCCAGGCATCATCCGTTGGCGACGTGTCCTTGTCCAGGGCCTCTAAGATAGGCTGGCTCGGGTCCTTTAAATACTTGAAAAGGTCGAAAACCAAGAGCGTCATTAGTTTATTAGGGCAACACAGCAGCCCTGCTGCTTGACGTTTACTCGGCACGGTCCTGCCTTACTCAGGGGTGCCTGCCTCTTCTGCCCACCCCCGAGACAACCTACCAAATGAGAACACCCCTCACATCAGCAGTAACCTTAACGGGAACCCAAGGGCCAGCCCAGGGCACACCACACCTCGGGGAAAAGCACGTTGTGACTTCCTGCCCTTGGTGCCGGCTTGGGGACCGTTCTTCCCCAAGTGGCTCTGGAATTCTGACTTTCCAGCGAGGGAGGATGAGGGGCCTCCAGGTCACCCCTCATGGGGGAAAAGAGGGAAAGGTCGCCAGTGTTCTCCTCAGCCCCTCCACCCACCAGTCGCTTCCACCTCACACAACACACACCCAGCAGAGAAGTAAGGAGAGACAGAGGGGGCCTCAGGGCGCCCCACCTGCCCCTTCCCTCCAGCCTCTGTTCCAGGCTGAGCCATCCCTTCACTGCTGAGGGACCGAGAAACTCCTGCCTCGCTCCCAGATGTGCTGAGAGACACCGGAACGCGCAGTGAGCTGAGCTGACTGATGACAAGAGGGACATAAGCCAATCATGTGCGCTTCTGAAACCTCAGAAATATAAGCAAAACCTGATTTATTATTCTCGTGTAACTTCAGTGCCCTTTGATGTCTATTTTTCACTTTCCCAGGAAAGTGAACCGAAAGACTGTTTTAGACCCATGCCCCCAAGGACCAGCTAGTAGTAAATACACTTCATAGGGACCTGCTGGTGGTTCTTCTGTGAGAGAGAGATCCATGCAAGTAAGATTCTGAGACCCGTTGAGGGCTGTAACTGTGTGAAGTATTAACCAGGGAAGGGTTTTTTTTTTTTTTTTGTGGTAACTACCCTCTTAACAAATTTTTAAGTGCACAATGCAGTACTAACTATAGGTACGATGATGCATAGCAGATGTCCAGAACTTACTCATCCCGCATAACTGGAACTTCATACCCATTGAACAGCATCCCCCTGTGTCCCTCTCCCCTGGCCCCCGGCAACCACATTCGACTCCTGCTTCTAGGAGGTGGACTATTCTAGATGCCTCATGTAAGTCGAATCATGCAGTATCTGTCTGGAGTTTTCTAGTGGGGAAATTCACATGTAATTTGCGTTATGTCTGGGTACTTTATTTTTTTTTTAAAGATTTTATTTATTTATTTGAGAGAGAATGCGATAGAGAGAGCATGAGAGGGGGGAGGGTCAGAGGGAGAAGCAGACTCCCTGC